TCCGCTTTCGCAGCGAAGAAGGCATCAAGCCATTACCTCGTCACACAATACTTTGTGCCAGGCACGAGATCAATCTCATGCCGTACGCCGCGATCCGGTGGGAGTTGGGTCGGTGGATGTTTGCTCACCACGTCCGCATACTCCGCTACCTATTGTTTCATTGGATTCCTGGGGGTCCTTAAGATACTCAGAGCCCAAGCGCGTCTGACGCTGCTTGCTCAAATCTTCTAGGACGTCCTCGTCCAAGACAGAGGAGTAGTTCAATTTCTCCCGAGTGGCATCTGGTCTAATGAGCACCATCTCGGCAATCTCCCCAGCCTTGAGGTTGTCCAGGAAAGACTCGGCCGTCATTTCCTCGAGGTTCGGTATCTCTGCAACCTCTGGCAACGGCTCCAAGTGGACACCTGATGCCTTGACGAGTAAGCCGGTCTCGCCATCGAAGATGCGATAACACTCTTCCACCGGCCTTGTCGGAGGAGCCCGGGCACTGGACTCCGAGTCGCTTGAAGCGACGTCGTCGTCGACGGCGACCGTGACGTGGCGTTTTGCTACCCACGTCTGGGGATGTCGGCGCTCCGACATCCGAGGCACTCGTGGCCTCGTGTGATACTGTGGTACCCACACAGGAAGCGTGCTCAACACCTTCCTCTTCAGGTAAGGTCTGGGCGATCGCGTGTGGCACTATGTTACCCACACAGGAAGCGTATTCGACGTCTTCCTCTTCAGTTAAGGTCTGGGCGACCGTGTGTGGAACTCTGTTACCCACCCGGAACACGCTATCGTCAAAGTTCGTGATAGCTGCAGCTGTCTGCGGAGCTAAGTTACCCGCTTGTGGACCCAAGTTACCCACTTGGCCAGAGCCTCCTCTGGGCGCTGCCACCATCAAAACATCCTTGGAGTCGTCATATACGTCGACGACTCCCAAGCATCTGCCGGACGCTTTGGTCCCCCGACAACTCTTGCGAGCGCCCTGGGTTCTGACAGAGGTGGGAACATGACTCACCAATGCTCTGTCGGTCTGCGCAGGGCGGCTGGCACCGATTGCCTTGCCTCGCCAGCCGATCCAGGGCTCGTGCTTCTCAGCCAGGGCATGCCCAGGATCATATCGTATGGATCCATGTCGAGAACAGTGAACTCTTCGAGGCTGTCAAAGTCTTCAAGCTTGACGGCCAGATCCACTTGGACGTTGGGGACAGTGACGACCTTCCCGTCAGCCGGTCGCTCTGATACTGTCCCGTTGCCCTTGCTTTCTCTCAAAACATCGGACAACTTGTTGCTATTACGAGCAACTGTCTGGCGGCGTGCGAAATTCCTCGATGCCCCAGAATCGATCTAGATTCTGAAGGGATGATCGTATCCCCGTACACATCCGTGTACTACGAGCAACCCGCCGCTGCTCTTCACCGATTCGAGGGTGCGAATACTCTCAGGGGCTAAGTACCCGTGGTATGCGCCACCCGCGCACCCTTCACGAAGACTTAGTTCCTCCCCTGTAGGGCGCCCCGCCCCTACTGGTTTCCGGCGTTCCCCTGTCCCCTGGATCCTGGATCCTGGCTTCTGCCAGCGACCATTGAGGACGGGCTTGGGGAAAGATCGTCTGCGGAGTCTTTCCGCGGGACAGTCGCGCTTGAAGTGGCCCATCTTCCCGCAGCCGAAGCAGCGGATGTCACGCTGTTCGGCGGAGCCGAGTTCCAATGGGAACTGGTCCGTTGGGGCTCGTTCGACCGGGAGTCGACAAAAAACTCCCAGGCCATGCGAGGCCGGCGTACGCGCCTGGCGATGGCTATACTCTTCCCGAAGAGCCACTTGAATCGCCTCTTCAAGGGTGTTTGACTGCACCCGGAACAGCTGAGTGCGCGCGGGGCCCACTCGAAGGCCGTCCATGAACACTGTCATCTTGATGTGTTTGCTGAGTGGGTTTCCCACTAGGGACGCCGTGAGCTCCCGTATTTTATGGGACGTACTCATGCAGCTCACGCCTCCCTTGCTTGCACGAGAGGAATCGCGAGCGCTGGCGGTACTCGAAGTTCGCCGGGGAGAACGCGGCTCGGAGCTGTTCACACAGCTGAGCCCAGGATGTGAAACATCCAGGGGATGTGTACACCCAACCCTTAGCACGGCCGCTAAGGTTGGAGAGTGCAAAGGCAACACGAAGTTGCTCGGTCGAGATCAGAGCCGCGTCCATAGCGAGCTCTACTTCTCGGACCCAGAAGTGAAGGCTCTCGCCTTCCTTCCCTTCATACGGCTTAACCTTCAGCCGAATTGGCTTCGGGTGAGATGGATTCGCTTCCACCGCCGGAGCCTGCAGGTTCTCCCGCACATGCGCGATGAGACCCTGCTCGTAAGCGTCAAACACATTGACGTGCTCGAGCTGCGCGGCCGGTGTTGACGCCACCAGGCTCTGCAGGGCCTCCATCTCGAAGATACCTGCCATCTTCTGAACCAACTCGAACTGTGAGCCGTTCGGATGGGAAATGTTGTTCATATCCAAGGCAACAAATCTTAGAGAGGTTCAGGTAGTCGACCCGCTTTGGCGTGACTTGATTACGAGTGCTATCAAGGATAACGGGGTCACACAGCACCTTGCACTAGAGGAATTTGGCTTCCGAGCGTTTACAAACTCTCAGTGAACGGCAGTTCACAGGTCCCTTTTTACTTAAAGGGAGCGAGGTGACAAAAAAAACAATTTAAGGTAGGCTGTAAGCTGAGTATATTTATAGGTAGGCTAAGCTTGAGTTAAATATTAAAACTATAAGTCACCTATAGAAAAGCAATGACATCAGCCAATGGTTGGCTTTGGACGACCTTGGTACCTTGCATAAGCGTTGTGCTCAACGCCCATTCATTCGCAAAGAGCATGACATGAACTTCTTTCGACCGATCGAAGTGC